TATTATGGCTATTGTTGCTCATTATCTTGGTCTTCTTCAAGTTCATTTTAAGGCCAATTTTCTCGGATTGATCATTTAGCTCTTTTAGCATGGTGTTCAGTTCTTGAATGTCGGTGCTCAGCAAGACCATATCGTCTGCGAACCTAAGATGGCTAAGGTTTTACACGGGCCATTACTACTCTAAATTACATATGAATATGAAGTCAAAAACTAAAGAACATGTCACATGTACCAACCCAGAGACACGCTTAAAATAAAACATTAAAGCTGTGTTGAACCCGTTGAATGATAATGAATCCGTTGCACTTTGGAGGAATCCGAAATGATAATCAGCTGAGTCGCTGTGGTTTTTAACTTCATACTTAACTTCGAGAGTTCAAAGAGTAAAGATAGGTAATGTTTATTCCAATCAATATGTTGCCACCTCCGGGGTACCCAGGGCAGTATATTAGGCCCTCTTTTGTTTTTAATTTTTGTTAATGATTTGCCTGAGAGGCTGAGGGTGTCTTTGGAGCTGTTGTTTACGGATGATTTTAGATTATTTAAACCAATTAATAATATTGATGATACTAGGGCTCTCCAAAGTGATTTGAACTTAGCTCTGGACTGGTTTAAGGAGAACAAGATATTTGTTAATACTGGAAAGTGCTGTGTTGTTTCTTTTTCCCGGAAGATCAATACAGTCATTGAAGACTACTATATTGGAAGTTGTAAGGTTGGGAGTGGTTTTTCAGGACAAAATATTTTTAAATTTAACAATCATTACAACTACCTGATTAACAAGACATATAGGATTCTTGGTTTTGTTATGCGTAATAGTAAAGATTTCGATATACAATTAATTACAAGACTTTATACTTTATACCTCTCTTAAGTAAGACCGCATCTTGAATATGCGTCAAATATCTGGTCTCCCAATTGTTACACTCACAGTAACGAGATTGAGAAGGTTCAAAAACGTTTCCTTCTCTTACAGATCAATATTGGAAACATTTCAGTTAACTTCGATGGTCTCTAGGAGAAGGACACAGGCTGTCATCTTTATATAATATAACATTCTTAATAATTTAAAATATGCTGACTGTGGTCTGATTAAGAGCATCAAATTTAGGTTACCACAGATTAGGTTGAGAGTGAGTGAGTTTATTTTTTTTATATTGATTGTGATAAGTGATAAAGCTCCTCGCCATTCACGTTTATGCTCACCATTTGTAACGATATGTTGTCTGGGAACACAATTGCCGATATGTTTAACATTAAGTTTGGCGAACTTAGACGCATCTTGTTGTTGTATCAGGAGACAAATCTGGTGTGATAGATTTCATTGTTTTTTTATTGCACATTCTATAAATTAGATTTATGTACTTTATTAAGTATCTTTATTATATATATATATATATATATATATATATATATATATATATATATATTGTATATATATATATATATTATATATATATATATATATATATATATAATATAGATATATATTTTATGTATATAAATTATTTTTATGTACTTTTGCATGTTGATTTTACATATTGATTTGTCTAGTTTTAAGTAATTGTGATTGTATCTGTTTTTTTTTAGGCCTTTGCATGTAGCTACCTCAGTAGGTGTTTATAAGGAGTAAAATAAAATAAAATAAATAAATAATATTGTTCGCCCATGATTATATTTTACCTTCGACTTTCGAATATAAACTCATGCGGTGAGGTTGAGTATATGAATAGAAAATTAAATTACAATGAGCTTTGGAAAAATTTAGAAATACATATGACATTACCAGTAATAATACCGCGGTATAATACCGTATATTTACTTAGATTTAATAAATAAAATGAAGTCTCTCTATACTTCCTTACATGAAAAATAAAAGATGCATCTCCATCCACTGCTGTCAGCTAGATATGCGTAAAACATCATGGCAAAAACGGCTCCAGCATAACTGCCTGAAGTTGATTGACTGGCATATCTGCTTCTTTCACTAGGTGGAATCCACTTGGCCCACAAATAGAATAAACTCGAATATGTCACGCCCTTAAAATATCTTTGAGTAGAGATGATTGAAAGCACCCAACACGTTTAGAGTTACCTCAAATATTCCCATTAAAGTTCTTCCAGCCAGAAGAAGATATACGTTTATGGTAGCTAACAACGGGCTAAGCAAAGTAAAGAAAGCAGCTCCTGCAACGCCTCCTCCGAAGATCAGCTTTCCTCCAAACCTTCTGGAAAGATATCCACCAACAATTTGAGTGATTATATAACCATAGAAAAAGGAACTTAACAGGTAACCTTGAATTTTGTTGTCCCATGAAAATTCTGGACCCTGTTTAAATGAATATAATTTATATAACGTTAAAGTTTTGCATTTTTAACGTACTATATTTGCTTCAGTGCCATTTGGAAACGTAACATGTCTATCCTGGGCCATAGCCACGATACCTGGCACACTAAGTTAACTCGTAAAGAATAAATGTTTACATATCCGAAAAAGACTAAGATAGCCAAAATGTATCGTCTTTGTTTCCAAAATTTCCAATTCGAGGTGGGTGTTCTGAAAACCAAATCGAATGCAACGGTATATTAAAAAATTAAGGTCGTTTGAAATAAGTAAGTATTAAAATATTTAATACTTACGCGGTTCTATTATCAATTTGATTACACAGCTGATTGTCTCTCATGATTTCGTATAGGTATCTTAGTTACTATGTTGATCAAGTAAAATATAAAAGATGTTTTTAAAATATTACTTGCATCTCTCCGAATTAAATACTAATGACATACCTAATAAAAAATTTCATATATATAATATTTATATCTTAATTAAAGACTTATTGCACCGTTTAAATAAACATTGAAAATATTTCATTATATTCTGTAATACAAAAATAAAAATTTCTACATAATGCTAAGGCAAGCTTAAAATTAATTATTAACAATTAACATAAAAAATGGATTGGCACTTGATATAAAATAAGTCAAATAAAGGACACGATGTTTTTATAGCAATAAACATATTTTGGCAAAATATTTTCATGTTAATTTTTAACAGCCAACATAAAAAATGGATTTATATCAAAATTATCTTCACGAGAAAGTGAGATTGTTTGAGAACTAGATTTAAATTGAATTTATGTTGAAAGGTATTGTGACTGTGAAAAAAATAAACTTGGAATTTTCATTTTGACTGGTATTATTATATACCTTTGATCTTATTTAAAGTGTTATATTTTTGTTATTTTTAGCAACATTTTCATGAATTTTTTAACAAGCTGTATATAAATTTATCAACTTTTATTCGTAAACTCAGTTTTTTATGAACTTTAGTATTTGGCATATTATACAGAGTTAATCGAGGGGCTGTTTTTTTACCTTAACTTTAAAACACCCAGTGCAATAATTTCGTGTGTAAATTTTCCTAAAATATACTTTTACGGTCAGAACCATGTCTCCAGAGCATTTTGTTTTTTGGATCATGTCAATACACGTCTTGGTTAATTTTTAAGAGCCAAAATGAACTTGCCACCAACAATTTGCAATTTTTTCAATTATTATTTCTTTTGAAGTTATTTTTCAATATGACAAGGCGGCTTTGGTGGTTATTGTGAACTCTATACTACGACACTACTATCACAGATTAGGTAAACTATATGTATACAGATAAAAAATCTTATCCCTAATTCGTGGTACGAAAATTGTTTTTTATGACGATGTGCAAACGACAAAATTTCCTGTGCGCAAAAATAAACTCGCGTAAAATAACAATAAACAGCGTAATAGAGAGATATCGCTAAACCGAATAGCGTGCATGGGCGTTAATAAGGCCAGGTGTTATTTCCTTTACGTGAGGTGGTATTAACTCTCTTCATTTATAGTTATCGGATCGGAAAGAATTCTGTTCGCGTCGTGTCCGCGTCCGCTATTTAAACTTAACCTAACTTTGAATTTAAAACTTTGAAATTGTTTTGTTTACTAGGTATTTTAAAACTAAAGGGCTAAAGTGCTTACTTCCAGTACTTTATTGTTCAACGTCTGCCAGTGGGTTTAGAGCAACAAGTAAGAAATTCTCTTAGAAGGGCTAAGTCGTCATCTGCTGTAAACCTAAGCCTCTTTATAGGTTCTTTAATAATGGAAGAGGTGGAATCCATATTTTGGGCCATATTTATTTAATTAAAACTTATCCCAGCTACTTAAATATCAAATTACCTAATAAAACTAAAGTAATAATTCAAAACAATTCAAACATAACCTAAAATAAAAGATCTCGCCGCTCGCCGGCCGGCCCCGATTGTCAAATGTACCCGCACATGCCCATTTAAGCAATTTTTGAACGTTATTTAGAAATAGCGCTTGATGTAACTGATCCGCAAATTACGTCAGGCGGTAACGTTATTAGCGGGGGTTGCGTTAAAAATTGACTCGCGCATATCGTAACCATGATAAGGTACGCGTAAATACTGCATGACGCTATTCGGTTTTCCGATATCTCTCTAATAACTGTGCCGGTCAGGCGCTGTGCACAATTTTAGAGGCCATAAGTGGGCGTGCTATGTGCGCAAACTAGTAACCTAACTAGTGTCCGATTTCGAAAATTGGAACCATGATAAACTATAAAGAAAAAACAAAGTTTATAATCTTTGCTACTATTAACTGCCCATCATGTTCGACGTTTGGGAAACGCTTGGAAGGAGAGAGTTCACGAAGCGGTACCAGCTTCATTAAATGAACTTCGCTTGGTCCTTAAAGAAGAATGGGAAAACATAACGCAATATGATATATGCAGCCTCAATGACAGTATGAACGGACGTATACAGGCAGTTATAGCAGCCAAGAGAGGCAATGCAAAGTATGAAGGTATTTTTTACAATTTTTTTTCTGTTTGTGTACATGAGTATAACATATTTTTTATTTAATATCGTTAATTCTGTTATCGTTATTAATGTTTATTAAACCAGGATTGTATCGTTAATTGTTTGTCTTTATTTTTTTTTTCTTTAGTACAGAGTATACAGTGCAGTGTAATATGACGTTACGACAATAGTCGTCAAATCCATCTCGTCATATTAAAAAATTACATAAAATAGTAATGATAATTGAAAAAATTGCAAATTGATCAGTTCATTTCGCTCTTAAAAATTAATCAAAGCATGTATTGACATGAATCAAAAAACAAAAAGCTTAGGAGACATGGTTCTGACCGTAAAATTATATTTTAGGAAATTTTATAGATTAAATTATTGCACAGGGTGTTTTAAAGTAAAGGTAAAAAAACTACCCCGTGATTAACCCTGTATAATAGGCCAAATACAATAGTTTATAAAAAACTTAGTTTACGAATTGATATAGTTATATACAGCTTGCTAAAAATTCATGAAAATAGGGCTAAAAATAACAAAAATATCACACTTTAAATTTGACCAAAAATTGGAAAATCGGCAAGCGGTAATACAAGAAAATTTGTTTTAACATTTTTCAAAAATAAGCTTTTAAAGTAAATTGTGGCTGCCTTGATTGACTTGGCGGTGATTATTTTAAGTCATTTTGTCGACTTAACTCTCAGTTTATCATGATTCAAGTCAAAAATATAAGTCACAAAACTTAAGTCATAAATCGACAATATTGATTTAAATATTTATGAAAATGACTTGAAAAATAAAAAAAATGTTAATGAAAAATATGAATTAATATTATTCATAGTTTTTTCATTTTTTTTGTTCTTAAAATTTACAATAAAATCAAAGTCAAATATTTCTTTTAATGCATTATAGTTAATTCATCTGAAGATCGATCTTATTTACACTCAATAATATCACAAAGGCATTTTAAATATATAATAAAGTTTCAAATATATTCATCTATTTTCACTAATCACAGGTTTCTCTGTTCTGGTGGATTCCTTAGTATCAATTTTTGGCTGAATATCCCAAGACTGTCTTAATCCCGACGCAAAACCCATAAAGAATATTGCTCCAAATAGGTACAAACTTGCTGTTATAAAGAATATAACTCTCCATTGTTGTACAGTCTAAAAAATATATTTTTTGAAATCTTAAATTTATCACTAAACTAATACTATTTACAGATTTGAGCATTATTTTCATTTGCTGAATAAAAATAATAAAGCAAAGCAACAAATATAAAATCAAAGTTAAATTATGTTAATGAAAGTAGACTTACAGGGTTATCAGTAGAAATAATATATCCTGCTATTATGGGACTTATGATACCAGGTACACTACCCCACGTGTTTACTAGTCCAATTAAAATGCTTCCATTAACTGGTGCGATATCCAAGACATTTACACTAAAAATTTCCTATGTTATTAAGTGTATAAAGCATAACAAATGCATACTGTAAATCTATTGAAATAAATCAGTGAACAAAATTGATAGTGGAGTGCTTTAAGCCTTTACGGGATACAAACCTCGGAATTCATTTACTGTGAACGAATTTTTATGAAACTTTTTGCATTTTATTGTTAATAAGATATATTACCAACTTTACCCATTTAAATTCGTTGCTTTCACTTTAGTATTTAAACAAACACACATATACAAATGCATACATACAAGATGGCTCCGCATTCCGGAAAAGCTCTGTATCAGGATTTCTATTTGAGATTTTCACTCCAAACCTTTTACAAAATATGTGTTTAATGGTAGTTCACATTTCAAAAATATTTTTATAGGTATACAGTATGAGTCAAATATATATCTATAATTGTTTATTTCAGTGAATTTGCTATAATTCAGGTTCCAAAAATACCTTAATACCATAGAGTATACTAAGTGGTTTTTGAATTATGACCACGTCCATGAGGACGTCAATCTAGATGTCCAGAGACCTTCGTATGAGGTATGAGAACTTCTAATCGAGACAATGAAATGAAACTTTATTTTTTTACTAGAATCCAAAAATCAATTAATATATAGGGTGTTCCATTACAAAAAAAACATAACTTAGATGTGTAACTTTTTTTGGGGACACCCTGTAGAACTCTACATAATTTTAGAAAATGCTTTAAATTGTCTTCAGTTCACAAAATTGCACTTCAATATAAACTTTTGTTCTCCATGCAAAAACCGCGTCGTATATGACGCGCCACTCTGTATAATTCGATTTCAATCAAAATTTCAATGATTAGAATATAAGCAGAATAGGTATAGTTTATGCATTAGATTTGTTTATTTCAATAAATTTACTTACAAAAAGAATTAAAAAAATCAAAAAATTAAGAAGGAAATAATAAAGAATTTACTAAAATTACTAAAATAAAAAATTAAAAGCAACAAAAAAAAAGGGTAAACATTTTAGTATTTTATCTATAAAACACAATACAGAAGGTTTCATATTAATACATTCACAGTAATTGAATTCCGAGGTAAAAGTCTCTGGGCACTCCACTATGAGTGTAATTAAAAATTAATGAA